ATAAATAAACAGCTAACTGTAAAAGAAGAAGCTTTAAAATTAGCCATACAGCAGCTAGAAGACCTTTTAGTATAACTGTAGAATTAATTAGATAATTCTCAGCCCAATTTTATTTAAATAAATAAATAAAACAGAATAATAAATTAAACAACTTACTTGATTAATTTTTTTGAATAATTATCTGATCAAGTCCAGTGTTTGACACTGTGTCCTTAAGATAGATTCGTCCTCTCCACGGTGCTTTCTGAATTTGGACGTCTATCTCCCAGGATAAAATGATCTACTACAAACAATAGCAGCACTACAAATTGTTTGTCTAACGAATACACTAAGTGCTTATACTTTCTCATAGAAGAAAATAATGCAGCAATATGAAAAGAATATTTGCAGAATTATGAAGGACGAAATTATTAGAGTTACAAAATCCAAATGAGGGCTGTCCTATTTATAGATGGATTAGTGGCTGCAGATTTTGAATTAAACAGGTATCAACCTATTTGAACAGGTACGAAACCTGTTTGGTTTTGAATTTAAACAGATTTGAATTTGTTGGGTTCACAATTCAAACAGATGACAAAAAGGGAAAGGGTCCTGTTTGGGTGTACAGTAAAATCGGACCAGTTTATTTCCGGTTTAATTTGAATTCTGAATTTTATTTTACCAAAAATAAAATAAAATTTAAATGTTTTTGGCCCAAAAAGATTAGTATTGGGCCGAACAAGCCCAACCCAACCACATACCACGCACCCGCGCCCAAGCCCAGCCCGACCGATTGGACGGCGGCGCGCGTGTGTGGGGATTTTTGGGTCCAATGGGTCTAGCCCATTTTGCCCATAACCTCTCCCTCTAAAACACTTGGTTACCCCTTGGAGCACACCCCAAGTACCAAACCCATACTTTATAAACCCATTCAAAACTTCCCACCAAATCAATGTGGGACAAGCCTTATTCAATACCTTTAAGGATTTTTCACCAAAATTTCATTTCCATGGAGCATACTTTGGCTTCAATTTCCCATTCATTCGATAATGATTTTGAGCAACCAAATATACCACGTGAATCACAACGTGACATAGAACGCGTTATCACTTTGACCCGCGAAAATCGACGCTCGGGGCCCACCTAAAAAATATACCAAACTTAGGAAATTTTTTTGATTTTATCCAGAATTTTATAACCATTTCCAACAACTCTTCTTATCATGACAAATGTATGCAGAACCGGTTCAGTTTTGCGTCTTTTATTGTCATTAGACCACCTTATTCTGCTCTGCCATGCATCCTAGGTTGTTTGGTCTTCAATTCTTGACTGGTGGGGTGCCTTGACTGGTGGGTCTGCCTTTCATCAATTCACTTACTATTTCATTGGTGGTTCGGTAACAACCACAAAGTTTAAAAAGGTTCAAAGAGAGAGAGAGATTTCCTTCATCATTTGTTTAGTCCTATTTCTCAATAGAGAGAGAGAGAGAGAGCATGACAACATTACACTGGCCACTGGTATGTCACTTTGCTCCCCATATTCACATTTTATTTGTGCATATACATACTACGTGATTGTATTAAACTGCCATGTTTAGGATTGCATGCTATTTTGTTTTTCTCTATTTTTATCTGTTTATTTATTGTGAAATTTCTAATAAATCCTTCTTATCCCATGATATTTCATGAAAAATATGACTCATTTGGTATTTTTCCCGATTTATTTTTGGAAGCTTCTGTTGTGTATTCTACAGTTTTTAAAATAACTTTCATCTGATTAATTTTTGGAGATGAAAACCTCAGTTGTCTTTATGGCATAGCTAATATATGAGTATATATATTAGCTTATTTTTTACTATAACTATGTTTTTTCAAAACTTTCGGAAATCAACAGTGCTCAAAATCGCGTTTTCAGCACACCATAACGTCTATATCGACAAGAGGAGTACAGACCCACAAAGATCAGTCGATGAGGAGCCCTAATGCGTTTTCACGCACCAATAAAATTTTGCGAGTGAAAGTCTAAAGGTTGAAGACAACTTTAAATACCTATCTGGAGAAAATGTATCACAAGTGAGTTAGTCGCAGCGGTTTGGGCGTATTGTGGTGCGAATTTGGTTAGGAGTCCGAGTCGCGCAAGTGATGACTTCGAAGTATATGTTTTTTCGGAGAGCACCACTGACATCTGCACTAACACAGTAGGTGATGTCATCAGGTCAGTTGAGTGGTTCGACCCGAATCCAACAGAAAGTTTGAAAAATTGTAATTTGGCTCCTGTGATTTAGGAAATTGCAATTTGGCCCAAAGGTTTGGGAAATTTACAGTTTAGCCCCTATTTTTGGGGTTATTTTTGGTTTGGCCCCTAAAGAGGAAAGAAGTGTGTTCCTAGCCAAACAAGCCATTTTCAGTCGCAATCGCGAGGTCAGAGTAGTCAGATTTTGAACGTTTTCTCCAACTCCCTCTATATATTGAGTTAGCATGCAAGAGGTAAAAACAACACAAGTAAGTGAGTAGCAGGAATACACAACTGAGTGTGTATCTATGAATGTAAGAACATAACTGAGAGTGTAAGATAGTAGAAAATGTGTGAGTTGAGTGAGAGAAAGTCTCCTCATCTGTTGTAATCTCTATCTGTTTTAGTGGAAATCTCTTGTTTTATCTGTGGACGTAGGCTTTGAAGTCGAACCATGTAAATCTTGTATGTCATTATTGTGTGATTTATTTCTGTAAGTTCAGGTGGATTGGCCCAACACCTTTGTCCATAAATTTAGAAAAAAAGAAAATAGTAATAAAAGTAAAACATTAAACAGCACCTCATTCGTATTGGGAACTTCTCGAATGGTAGTTAAGAGATTTCCCTAGGAAACCAAAGAAGAAGATATGGGTTTTCAATTCCCAAAAATCCTCTCATTAGACCTTGGGAAATGGGTCATATTTATAGGTTTTTCCTTAGCACCAAGAGGATACCAAGTGGCCAAATAAAGTGAGGACATGTGTCCTTAAGAACCACATGAAATATTTTTCCTTGGACCACCAGGCTGAAGGTATCATGTGTCCCTCTACATGAACTATGTACTATTTGTTTGGCATAAATGCCTCAGTAAGTGCACTTGCGACGGGAGTGATTGTCGCTGCAACTTGCCTCCTCAACTTCAACCTCAGTAAATGCACTTACAGTAGTAATGTTTGCTACTGTACTTGCCTTTTCAGTTCGATTTATCCAAGAAATACATTTTCAGGACTTTATAACCTACTATTAGCTATGTTTGTGTTCACCTCAGCGACACCTCCACCATTAGCCACCTAACCATAAACTTCCCAACTTCCCAGAGCGAAGGCCACAGCCAAGCTTGCCATCAGCCATGATGTGCCATAGTACCAAGCTCAAGGGAGTTTCCTTGGTCCTGCTTGTGCAACCAGGGCAGGTCCATGACTTGGGTAATGGAAAGGGAGTCCCTTACTCTCGGGTTGCCTTGCTCTTATTTTTGCGGGATCACTATGGTATACTGGTATTTCCGAGCCTGCTATCAGCTCTAACTAGTGAGTTTCGGGGCCTGCTATCAACGCTGAACTAATAATGACTTTGGGGGCCTACTATCAACCCTAGGCTAGTAATGCCTTGGGGCTTGCCATCAGCGCCAATCATTAGCCTCTACTTGTGGAGGGGAAGCTTCTCCCAAAGGCTGTTACCACCTTGGTGGGGGATTCCCTCCACAAGTTAGTTGCTGTGGTGTCTATTTCCTATAGCAAGTTCAATTAGAAATGTCGACAAAGTGTCTCCTCAACTTAGCCGCTGCAAGTGTTGCCTTTGCAACTTAGTTGCTTTAGTTTTTTCTTTCCGTCAGCAACTTCAGATGGATGCAGCACCGACAATGGCAATACCAACAATAATAAGAATGGCGGTGTTGAGACAAAGTGCCTCAGCAACTTGACCACTGCAAGTGCTACCTCTGCAACTTGACTTGGACATTTTTCTTCATGGAGCCTATTCAGACCCTTGGCGGGTCGAACTTATTTCGGTCTACTGTTGACCCACTTTTCTTAGGTTTTAGCTCATGTTCTTTTAATCATTTTTGGTAGCCTAACAAGGGCGACCTCTGCACTTAGGTCTATACTTAATTTTGATCGTAATTTTTGAACTTCTACATTTTGCCCCCTGCGCGCGTGGGGAACACACACCTAGTTTCCTGCATGTGGATGACGTTAGTCGGTGACCTAGGGTTGCGTCTGCTTGGTCAGAAGTTGCGTCAGTTTTTGAAGAGTCATAATGGTTCTGAAAATGTGTGTTGACTGATGGGTCATGATTAGGGGTGGTCGCGGGTCGGTTGCGGTCACGGAACCTCTAATCCGCCATTTGTCTGCCGGATTGGAGAAAATCTATCCGCATCCGTTCGCCAATTTGGCTGATGCGGATTGAGCGGATTGGCGGATGGATGCGAATCGGTTTGGCGAATTAAAATTTTACAAATTTTCGACATAATTTAACATGTACACTTTCTAAAAAATAATTAAATAAATGTGCACTTAATTCCTCAATCACCACCTATGTGCAATGCATACATAAACACTGCAGCAGTGGGTAAAACAAACACATATAGTCAAATATAACAAAAACAAATAAACATAATTGGTGTGTTGTGTATGCATAATAATAGACACTAGGGAACACATATAGTCAAATATAACAAAAACAAATAAACATAATTGGTGTGTTGTGCATGCATAATAATAGACACTAGGGCTGAGCAGTGTGTGTGTGCTAAAGACAAACAAATAGTGTGTGCATTGCACATAGGTGGGCGCAACCTGCTCAGTGTGTGTGCTAAAGACAAACAAACAATGTGTGGCAAGCCTTTAAAAGGATGTTTTTGTTTGTTTGTTTTTGTACTTAGAGCCTAAGTCCAAGAGTCATGGAACAAACAGTGTGTGGCAAGCTCTAAGTCCAAGAGTCATGGAATAACCTGCTCATATATAAAAACAACATGCTCAAATTTAAATTCAAACAAACAAACAACTTGGATAGTGGGTGCAACAACGCAACACAAATTTTCAACATGCAATCGTCCAAAATAAAGTATTACAATCATCCAAAAAATTTAAAACGTTTTAATACAATCATCCAAAATAAAGTATTACTGCCATCTAAAGAAAGTACCAACTAATAGCCATATTTTCAAAACAACTAAAAAAGAAACAATAAAGCCATTGATTTCTTTGAGCCAAACCATGAACCATGAGCCATGAGCCAAACCTGCATAACAAAAAAATGAAATTATTTAACAAGGAAAACACTAAAAAGTTTTAAACTTAAAATAAATAAACATAATATAACAAAGGCGAAGTATTACCAATGATATTAACCTTTAATATAACTACTCTCCGGACTTGGACTTGAACATGAAATTGATTCCGAAACAACTACACATAAAACATAATACAACAAAAATATGTGAAGTGAAGATAATGAATTTTGAATAATACAAAATAAATAAAATTTAAAACAAAATAAATCATTGTGTGTGTATATATATATATATATATTATCCGAATCATATTGTTGTTCAAATTCTTCAACATTATCCATTGCTTGTCGAAGGCATATTGGAATGTTACTTCAAAGCCAATTTTGTGTACAAACAAGAACCTCCACCATCTTGAGAGCAAGTGAACTACGAAATGGATTAAGTATACGACCTCCTGTACTAAAAGCCAACTCAGAGGCAACAATGGAGATAGACATTGCCAACACATCTCTTGCTATAAGTGATAATACTCTATACTTTGTTGCATTAACCTTCCACCACTCCAAGATATCAAATTGAGCATTTTTCCCACATTTCTCAATATCACCCAAATACTTGTCCAATTCCGACATACTCCTACTACTTCAAAATTGCCCCTCCAAGAATGAGTTAAATTGAGAGTTCACAATAGAATGTGGATCATTTTCATCTATCACCATATCTATTGTTTCATTTACATTGGAGACATGCACATTTGTTGAATCAAGTGTGGCATAATGATCATACAATTGACTCAAACAATGTTTCACCTTGTCTAACATTTCTTTCACTTTCACCACATCCCCACCAAAAATTGTTGAAAAACAAAATTACAAATTTCCGTGTAGAATGTATTTGAAGTAGCATTGTAGAACATTTTAAGAAATTTCAAAAACACCTTGCAATTATCCCAATCCTTAGCTGTAGGCATCTCTCTCCTCTCACACCCTTCATTATCCAAAAAATAGCATTTATAATTGTAATCCTCCTCACCCATTTTTTGAAAAGCACTCTCAAATTTTTCCATCGCCTCCAACATAAGATTCATGACCAAAAAATTATCAAATAAACTACCAAAAACCAAACATAGAACACGAGAGAATGAATAACAAGACAAACATCACTACTTAGCAACTCATACAATGTTAACTCAGTAAGCCTACTTAGTACACTGAAAGTTCATTCAGACTTCTATATCTAGTAACTGAATCTGTTACATTGATCACGGATGCGTTGACAAGATTGGTAGCAGCATCAGGTGCATTGACAAGATTGAGAAATAAGATAACTAGGCATATAATGTGCAATTCATTCAGTTTTATTGTTAGAGGAAGGAGTAATTTTAATATTTATATTCTCGACATATACCCTCACATGTGACCATTGACCAGATTTTCTTTCAAAAACAGGTTAAATATGAATAAATATTAGGTCACTTAATTAGTTACTTAAGACTCACTAAGAATATCTCCAAGGGCTCTAATTTTTTCGATACTAGTAAAATAAAACCTCATTTTCATGCTAAACCTTAGTCCTAAACATATCTTGGGCACTAAATGACATAAATTAAACCCAAGACCCCTTGAACTAGGGCTATGAGACCATGTTTAATCACCAATTGTAAGGCCCCGGTATCCCACATCGGGAATGGAGGGGGAGTTCCTGGGCTATAAAAGTAAAAACTTGGACCCTTATATAGCATCGAGGCCTTTTCCCAAGTGGTGAAATCCCTATTAGAACTCCCCAGTTAAGCATGTTAATGTTATGGTTATTATGGGTTTATTTGAGGGCGTTACACCAATTCTCTAAAGAATTTAAGCTGTTAATCAATCTCAACACTACTTAATTATAAGCTTCTTCACACTGTTTAGAACCTCTAAGCAAAAATTATAATTATAATTAAAACCATAAATAAAAATAACTATAATTATAAGCTAATGCTTCAAATGTTTCTGTGAAGAATTTGTAAATAAATAAAGACAAACATCCTCCAACCTGGCCGAAAAAAAAAAAAAAAAAAACTAAAACTAAAACTAAAACTAAAACTAAAACTAAACAAGGGTTTTTAGAAAAATAAATTACTATAAGACTTATTTGCCTACAAATTGTATAAGTTCGTTCAGTTTTTCTATTTTTCATTCACAAATTTGCCTACAAATTCAATACTCAAAAACAGATTCAGTTTATCCAATTTATCCAATTTATCCACTTGACATTGTTACACCACTTTGCCTACAAATTTGCCACTTGCCTACAAATTTGCCTACAATGGAAAGTTACACCATTTTTTTTCAGTTTATCCACTTGACATTGTTAAAAAAAAAAATAATAAAATCAAAAAACAGATTCAGTTACACTTTTTTTCCCTCTCTATGAGCTTCTTCACATTGTAAACAGATTCGATGTTGCATAATACAAAAAATTGGTGTATGGAGAGGGAAAGAAAATAGGAAACTTACACTTTTTTTTCCTCTTTGTAAGCTTCTTCACATTGTAGAACCTCTCTTCCACTGGTTTCACTTTAGAACTACAACAAACTGGAACCAAAAAAAAAAAAAAGGAAGATAAGAATGAACAGATTACAGAACAAAAAAAAATTATAGAATAGAATTACAAACAGATTGCAGAAAATAAGAACTTTAGAGGTCGTCGAAGTCAGAAAAAATAAATAAATTACAGAACGAACAGATTAGAGAATGAGAAGAATAAGATAAGACAATATCTGACCACCACACCACGATCGTCGATCCTCTTTCAGGTTGAAGAATGCCAATGGGTTAGGATTTTAATATGAGATTCTCAAAAAAAGGCTGGCTGAGGGCATACAAATTCAAAAAAAAAAAACGCAGATCGTCGATCGCCGATGGCTTTTTCAATGTAGATCGTTGCTCGATCGTCGTCGTCGTCGTCAGTACAAGTAGGGTTCTGGGGGGACAGAGAGAGAGTGTGTGTGTGTGTGTATCGAAGAAGATGAATAAATTAGGTTAGGTTAGTGTGGTGAGATCAGAAAAATGGGGGAAAATAAAAAATATATATATAAAAAAGAACAAAAGCGGGCAGGTCAGGTTTATTGGGTAAAGAGGCAGGTCAATCGCAACTCGACCAAAACCTGAGAAAAGCCAAAAAATGGGCCCGCACCCACCCATCACGTGTCACACATCCATCCATATGGTGTCGGGTCGGGTCGGGTGGGTCAAGCGGGCCGGTGCATCCGTTGATTAGCCCTAGTCATGATGGTTCTTGAGAGACATACCGGTACTACCTCTTTGGTTTCTTTATAAATAGGATCCTTTAAAATAAAAAAACATTAAAGGGGAGGGGATCACATAAGAAAAGTTTTGAATTTTTCAGGATAATCTATAAAATAATCATTGATTATTCTAAAATTCAATTTATTTATTTATTTATTTATTTTCCATGTGGATTAATAATTGTAATTTTTTGTTAGACAACTTTAAATATGTTGGTGTTTTAAGTTTGATTTCCTTCGTATTTACAATTCAAAATGAGTGTTTGAAATTGCCTCACTAAGAACCCAAAATTTGCTTACATAGATTAAGATTTTAACAAATCATTACAAGATTAAACAAGATAAAAATAAAATAATTTGATTTTGTTATTTCATGGCTTAGCAAGACTCAATATAAAACGAGGGGGAAAAATACCAAATAAAAAATAAAGCCATAAATCAGTATAGATTAATTTAAAAGCAACAAAATATCACTTAAATATTACCTTTCTTATATTTTTAATTACAAAATTACTAATTAAGCTTATATAATCAATTTTGTCTTTCATATCATTTTCAATGAATAATTTAGTTAACTGCAAAATTGATTTACCCAATTAGTAATTAAACATTAATCTTTTTTTCTATTGTTTGGTAACTAGTCGAATTATTTTTGGGGGCCCTACGACTGTCATTTGGGCTTTCCATTTGGGTGAGGTTGTAAACTAACATTAGACAACATGGAGAAAAATTCTGGCAACGTGGGCATTTCCCAAAAATGTGTAATTTATTCCAATTCTATTGGATCCTTATTTGGTAAAAAAAGATAGTCCAATTTATTTTATTTTATAAATCTTCTAAGAAGAATGCACATAATTAAGTAAGGATAAAATAAAAATATCATTTTTTTTTGAACAATATTGTCAAAGTAACATGTTACCGCGAATCAAAATAACATGTTACTGTGAACCAGAGTAACATGTTATATGTTACTGCTTACATCAATTTTAACGGTAATAATATATTTTTTAAAGAATTTCATAGTTAACATGGATCTTATTTGATAGATTTTGATGAGAGGAATATAAAAATACTAATTTTATTAAAAATCGACATTTAAATCAAAAGTTATATTATTTTAAAGTTTAACATTTTAGTAAATAGTGGTATGTGCTGGACCTTTCACGGAAAACTTTTTGAGCTTCTCTTTAATGCATTAAAGTTTTATTATAAGGGGATTTTGACCAAATCCCCCATTAAAAATCAGAGTAGTTAATGTTTGGAAAAATAATAATTCAATGGGATACTTATAAAATAATTGCAATATAGACTTCTTTTTGGATAAACTATCAATAGATTCTAATAGTTGGACTTAATTTATATTAAGTCCTATTGAAGATAAGTCATCGAAAAATTGTTGTTAAAAATAATTTTTTGTGGCCATTTTTATGCATATGTCGCTAAAAATTGATAATTAGTATTTTTTTTTGTCACGGTTTTTATAAATTGTCATTAAAACTTACAATTAGAGACATTTTTCGGTGATGAATTTTTTTAACTGTCGTTGAAAGTTGAAATTGGTAATTTTTTTTGCGATGACTTTTTTTAAAATTGTTGCTAAAACTTATAATTAGTGACATTTATTGTCATAAAATTTTCAAACTATCTCTGAAAATTAACAATTAGTGACTTTTAATAGTATTTGATGAAAAACACTATTAATTATCGTAGGACTTATTGGATAATAAGTCCACTTATTAAGATCTACACATAAATCTCCGTTGACTTTTTTTATTCCTTTTTGGATGCAACTCTAACACAGATAATATTTGTGCCAAACACATGAATGGACTTACACTTGACACCCAAAAAACTTGTACCGCGAAAAAATGAAATTATTTCTTCACTATTTCACTGAAAATCAATTCTCCCTAAATATTTTGTAAAAAATTATGAAATAATATCAGAAGTAGCGTGATAGATATTGATATAATATATATATGTATATGAGTTTAGATTCTTTCACGTTGGTCATCTTAATTTGAGAGTGTTTGGGTTTGGTGACTCATTTTGGGACTGATCTCAATGAACCAAACCGTTCATTTTTTAAGATTCATTGAGCATAATATTTATGAAAAAAATAAGATAATTAGACATTGATAATTATATATTTGAATCACATTTATATTATAAAAAATGAATTGCTATTTTTGAAATTATACTTGTTGCTCATTTTTTAAAACAAATATAATTCAAATCAGTGGCGACTCTAAAAATATTTATTAGGGTAGACATTTCAAAACTTAAATTTCATAAATTATATAAAAGAAACCACATATCAATATTTATCATATATTTCACAATTTTTCTTCATTGTTTTCCAATTGAGATCTTACAAATTTCTATAAAATTCTATTAAATCTCATATAAATCTCTCATTTACATTAAATTGACCAAACTATGCTGTTGCATGAAGTCGGTTTCCATTTCTGAACCCACCAAACCGAAAAATTCAATTTGACACTAATTTTTTTTCTTCAATCTTGACGAAAATAAACCATTAAACCTCTACTGTGGTGATTTTTGTTTCTCAAATTCAAAGAACTTCTTGTTTGGAGTTTAGAGTTGGAGTAACAGGGTGTTCAAAATTATAATGGGATTCAAAATTATAATGGGAGGACTTGATGAACATATGTATAATAATAGCAATATATGATAGCAGTTAAAAAAGTTTCAGGGTGAGCCAAGGAGTGGACCTACCCCTGTTTCAAATATATATCAATCAATGCTCGATTATCTTGATTTTTTACATGAATATTTTATTTAATATATCTTAAAAAGTGAACAATTTTGATCACCAAAATTAGGAGTTGTTTGGAATGACCTAAATAAGTGTACTTTTTGTCTTTTTACGAAAGATGTGTAGAAAAGTAGAGAGATTATGTGATGGAAAAAAGATAAAAAATGTGTACTTATTTAAAATAGCCAAACTTGGCCTTAGTCTCAAAATCCACTAAACCTGAACACTCTTAATCCAAAGCTTATATATACACAGTAAATTGGAGGCTTTGTCAATGTTCTAGTCGAATATCATGGCCAAGTGTTTTATTACTACTCTCAAGCTCAGTTGTTACAACAAAAAGGTGTATATTTATGGGTAGGGTTGGGCCAAGTGTTTTATTACTACTCTCAAGCTCAGTTGTTACAACAAAAAGGTGTATATCAAGGTGTATATTTATGGATAGGGTTGTAAATGTTAATGTTGTCTATTTTGATTTGAGTTTTCTTCTTCTACTACGTGCTCTACAATCCTTTCTTAGATATGTAAGCATTTCATCTTTATAAGCTAGTCCTTTTTTGTTTTTGATGAAGTTAAAAAAATTAATTTAAAAAATTTACTTACGCACTAATAAACCTATAAACTTCTTAGCCTTCGTTTGGTATGTCAGACTTTTTGACTATTTTAGTCTTAAAAAGACAAAATAAACTTTTTAACTCAATAAGATAAAATATTACATTCAACCCATAATTATTTCATTTTTTGTCTCATAAAAGTCAAAAAGTCTATCCCAAACGAGTCTTTTTAGCCTTAGGTTAAAATAGTTAAAAAGTCAACCCACATCCCAAACGAACCGTTGGGCCTCGTTTGGGAACAGACTTTTTTAGTAACTTTTTTGCTTTTTGGTTAAAATGTGATGTAAAAAAAACTAGTATGTTTGAATGACTTTTTGGCTTTTTACGAAAAGATGTGCGAAAAGTAGAGAGAAAAGGAAATCTTTGACTTTTTTGTATGAGTTGTTGGCTTTTTGATTTTTTTAATAAATTTTTGAATTTTTGGCTAAAAGGGACACTTGCCAAACAAGGTCTTAGACTCTTAAAAAAGAAAGAAAAAAAAAAATGACACATGTTATGTGAGTTCAAAAATTTGACAAAGGGTAGTGTAATTATATAAAAAGGATGAGGTTAACTGTATTTTTTCAAATTCAAGGGAGGTGAGTGTAATTCACCAAAAAAAATAAAAATAAAAAATGAACGACCATATTTTTGAAATAGACTATTCATTTTATTTAATTATTTATTGTGATAAACGTGATAAATTAAATAGGTAACCATTATCGGATTAATCTAATTTTTTGTGTGGATAATATTCACGAAGTGTTCGACAAAATGAACGGTTCAGATTATCAAAACGAAATCTATGGTGAACTCCACAATCCCGAACAACACCCTCCAATTTAGATTACAGTGAGTGCGATTTACCAAAAAATGAATGATGATAGTATTTTTGAAATAGATATTTCATTTTATATATTTATTTATTGTGACAAACATAATAAATTAAATATGCTATAATTATTGAATTAATCTAATTTATTATGTGAATAATATATACAAAGTATTTAATAAAATAAATAATTTAAATTATCAAAACATAATTTGTGATAAACCTCACAATCCTGAATAATGCCCTCCCATTCATATTATTAACTAATAGAAATCCAACTCCTTTTTAAAATATTTATATAATGTACATGACGACTAATAAATGAGACAGATGTTCACATGTTATTGTTATTTATCTTTTATTGGGACCTACTTATGAGGTAGTAGCTTACTAGTTTGAGAGAACTCTACTACTTCGTTAGCTAATGTTAGATATAAGACCAAAAACAAGGCTTAACCTATGACCCACCCATCCAATGCTCTTCCCTACTCTCATCAAGGGCTGTGTAAAATATCATCAAATCATTTAAAATCGTACCGATTCATATTAATCTGCACCGCTCTAACCACTAACCGTGGTTTAAACATTAAAATTTATAATCCGAAAACCGAACCGTTCTGCTCCGCTATAGTTAATACATATTGATTTACCAAAAAATGAATGATGATAGTATTTTTGAAATACATATTTCATTTTATATATTTATTTATTGTGACAAACATAATAAATTAAATATACTATAATTATTGAATTAATCTAATTTATTATGTGAATAATATATACAAAATATTTAATAAAATAAATAATTTAAATTATCAAAACATAATTTGTGATAAACCTCACAATCCTGAATAATGCCCTCCCATTCATATTATTAACTAATAGAAATCCAACTCCTTTTTAAAATATTTATATAATGTACATGACGACTAATAAATGAGACAGATGTTCACATGTTATTGTTATTTATCTTTTATTGGGACCTCCTTATGAGGTAGTAGCTTACTAACTTGAGAAACCTCTGCTACTTCGTTAGCTAATGTTAGATATAAAACCTAAAACAAGGCAAAACCTATGAACCACCCATCCAATGCTCTTCCCCACACTATCATTAAGGGTTGTGCAAAATATCGCGAAATCTGTTAAAATCATATCGATTCCTATAAATTTGTACCGTTCTAGCCGCTCACCGCGGTTTAAACTTTAAAATTTATAATACGTCAATCGAACCGTTCCGCTCCGCTATAGTTAATACATATATTTTTTAACTTCTAATGAAATATCAATGTAAAAATGAGAGATTTAAGATATGAAATTTATTACAAATTAGTGGTTATATATATGAAACATATTATGTAAAATTATTTTGTGTGATATGAAATTTATTACAAATTAGTGGTTATATATATGAAACATATTATGTAAAATTATTTTGTGTTATATATCTAAAAAATATTATACACATTAGTATTATCTATTATGCAAATGTATGATAATTAGTTAGAATATTTTTCAATCCGTCAATCCGTCAAAAACGGTCCAAACCACAATTTGTCAATCCACTAATCCGCTAACCCGCTGTTCGGTTTGTAATTTTACTCTCATACCACCCGAATCGCACTGCACCCCTCATCACCATCAACAACCTTTCTCTCTCTCTCTCTCCCTCCCCTTCCCTTCGACTCCAACGCCACCTCCCTCCTCTCTCCTCAACCCACCACCACAACCCCATCTAATTGCACCTCTCCTCACTTCCTCTCTGTTCCGGATCGACCCATCAATCTCTCCGGGTCCCCATTTTGTGTCTCGGATTCTACATGTTCTCGCCTCTCTGTTTTCAAACCATGTCTCCATCCAAATCTCCCAAATTGCAGTCACTGTCCATGGGATTGCAAGCTCATCAAAAACCCAGTTCAACTCTTGCAAGATTGTGGATCTAGGCACCGACAAGTCTCGGAGCAAGGTTGCCAAGGCGACATTTTTGGAAGAGAGAGACACCACCATTTGTTTGTTTGAGTGAAAGAGTGGAGAGAAAAAGAGAGGTTGTTTGTGTAGGCAGAGAGCAAACAAACACGTTGGTCTTTTTTTGCTTTTGGTGATGCCATGTAATTCGGGTACTTCGTGAAACTGAGGATTTTTATTTTTATTTTTATT